ATTCATGGGGATCTATAGGGGTGTCCTCGCTACACGTGAACCATTTTCCTTAACAATCTTAATTCTAGGGTCGTCCCCATATCCCGTCCAGTATGAACGCCAAGACATTAGACCTTAATATCTCGTCCGCTATGAGGGTGAAGCAGGCCGTCCCCATACCCCGTCCGGTATAAGCGCTGAATGACCAAGTCTCCATACCCCATCCGGTATGAGACAACGTTCATGGTAGGGTTCCCTATGAACCCGATCCGTCTACCATTTCCTAGGATATCTATTGAGACTGTCACTTTATCTGTTTATTAGATCATATCCATTTCCTGTTTATCCTTAATCTTCGTTACCAAATTAAACACAATCACATAAACAATAAACATGCACCCGGTAATACAATCATATTTTAAATCCCAAAATCACACAGTGGTTAAGTAATACAGTAATACATACATTTAAAACTCTAAAATCAGATACCATCATGCATTTAAACTGTAAAATAAATCAACAAAAATCAATAGAGAACAATGTCCAATTTTGGACTTCATTAGCAATCCGTAATTAATTATGCATGTTTATCTAACTTGTACAAAAGACCGTATTATTATTTATTCAAACTTCACATCTATGATAAGAAATAGGGTGAAGGGTCCTTACCTGATTTGACGTCGAAAACTAAATGGTTACTGTGCCTACGGGCGGTCCTTGGGTTCCCTGAAATTTTCTTCGGAAATTGGAACACGCTTACAGTACCTACAAATGTCCCAATAAACCCAAAATCAGTTCCAGGGCCTACTCGGCCAATTTCAAAAATCTAGCACAGCGGCTCCGCCATGCTCCGACGACGGCACCGCTGGCGGTGGCGGCGACCCACCTCGGGTTGGCTGTTTTTGGCAATTTTCAGTCGAATTCAGCAAAACTTGCATCAGTTCCTGCGAGAAAACACATTTAGGGCCCTCAGTGGGCTAAAAAAGTAGAAAATCGAAACTCACCAGCGATGGAGCTCTTCGATGCGGTAACTCCTCCGGCTCACGTTGTGGTTGGGTGTTTTGATTCGGTCAATCTGTAGAGAAGAAAATGGTGATCACAATTGTGGAAAAATCACATCGAACAGGAATCGAAAAGGGCCTCATCGTAGGCGTTTTCTAAAACACCCCGCGACGGTGGTGCCGAGCTTCGGCGGTATTTTCCGGCCAATTGGCCGGTTCTTTCACTTCGATTTGGCTATGGGTGGGTTTATAATTGAATTTCGTGTAAGAGGGGAAATTTTTACTTCGTTTGGCGGTTGAAATTTGCTCCAGTGCGGCGACGGGTGGCGGCAGTCGGCTCCCCGGTGGCTAGGGTTAGGGTTTGGGTGCGGATGAGGTTATTTATACCCATCCACTTAAGATCTGGGTCATCCATCGCTTTAAATCTGGACCATCCTCGCGATTAAATAGGGAGTGAATCTGGACCGTTCATCGCGATTCAATTTGGGCCGTTCGTGCACGATTCAATCTGGGTCGTCCGTGCGCGATGCAATCTGGACCGTCCGTGCGCGCGAGAACGGATCTCAGCCATTCGATCGCGTGCACGCGGATCGCCTACGTGGCTCCCCCTGCGTGGCCTCCCGCATCAGTACCTCTGCCACTTGGCGCGTCTTGGTTGGTCGGGGCTGCTGATCGAGTATCTGACGTGGTGTAACTTTTTTAAATTGTGTTTTGACCCTCGATTTCTCATTTTCTTTCAAAAATACTCGAGAACCCAAATTTTCACTTTTTTTTGTTCAAAATTATTTTCAATTAAATCCTTAACCAATTTTTCACCCTTTTTTATTATTATTATTATTATTATTATTTTTCATTAAATCAAATTAAAATAAAATAAAATAAATTCAATTCAATTAATAAATAATTATATTTATAAAATAATAAAATAAAATAAATAAATGTTGGGTGTTACACATCTCATATGTTTCAATCATATATTTTTTTAATTCTCTAAGCATTGTCTTATTATTATATGTGTAAATTAAATAATCAATATATAATGAGACAATTAGAATATCAGTACCTGTTTTCTTGACATATAAAATCAGCTCACTTTTGCTTTTCTAAATTTTTTTTTTGCGTGAAGTACTTGTATATCTCACTATACCATGTTCTGGGTGCTTGCTTTAGGCCGTATAACGCTTTCTTTAGCTTGTATACTTTGTTCTCTCCCCCTACATCTAGAAATCTTTTTGGCTATTCGACATAAATTTTTTCGTTAAGATAACCATTCAGGAAGACTAATTTGACATCAAGTTGATACAATCACCACTCTTTTTGTCTCTAATCTTGTTGTAGGAGTGTAAATCTCATAACAGTTTATGCCATATTTTTGCTTAAAGCCTTTTGCCACAAATCTTGTTTTATACTTCTGAATTAAGTCATTTGGATTCAATTTTATCTTATAAATCTATTTAACATCGATCACTTCATAATCTTTTCGTCGATTTACTTGCACTCAAGTATTATTTTTCTCTATCATGTGGATTTCATCTTTCATGACTTTTACCTAATTTTGTTGTTTATCAGCTTCTTCAAAACTTTGTGGCTCAACTAGCGATATATTACATGACTAGTAAATTTCTGTTAGACTTCTTACTCTTCTAGGAGCTGACTATTGAGTAGTCGACTCTGCATTTCTACTAGAACTTGGCCTTGAACTTAGACTAAAAGTTAAAATTGAACTAGACTTATTATATTTTGGAGTGCTATCTTGAGTAGTTTGTCCTTCCAATGAGATAATTGTTGGAGATGACTGCTTTTTTTGAACCTTACCGTCTTTCTAATTCCAGGAAGTATTCTCATCGAACACGGCATCTCTGTTGATCATCAACTTCTTATTCTCTAAATTGTACATCCTGTACCCTTTTGTACCATCAGCATAGCTTGCAAAAATATATATCTTTCACTTTTGTTATCAAACTTTGATATATTTTGGTTAGTACATGAAC